GGCCCAACTTTGGCCGCTCGACCGGAGAACGTTCGACGCCAAAACTCAACTTTTGGGTTTCCGTTGACCAAGAACCCAACTTTGGAAGATCCTCCAAGACCAAACCCCAACTTTGGAAGATCCTCCATGACTTTAATGACCCAAAACCCAACTTTTGGGCATCCTCCAAGACCCTTGATGACCAAAACCCAACTTTTGAGTTTTCATTGACCAAAACCCAACTTTGGAAGATCCTCCATGACTTTAATGACCTCAAAACCCAACTTTTGGGTGTTCTCCATGATTTTATTGACCAAAACCCAACTTTGGAAGATCCTCCAAGACCAAAACCCAACTTTGGAAGGGTCTCCATGACTTTAATGACCTCAAAACCCAACTTTTGAGTTTTTATTGACCTCAAATCCCAACTTTGGAAGGTCCTCCATGACTTTATTGACCTCAAAACCCAACTTTTGAGTTTTCAATGACCAAAACCCCAACTTTGGAAGATCCTCCATAACCAAAACCCAACTTTTGGGCGTTCTCCATGATTTTAATGACCCAAAACCCAACTTTTGGGCATCCTCCAAGACCCTTGATGACCAAAACCCAACTTTTGAGTTTCCAATGACCAAAACCCAACTTTGGAAGCTCCTCCAAGACCAAAACCCAACTTTGCAAGGGTCTCCATGACCCTCGATGACCAAAACCCAACTTTTGAGTTTTTATTGACCAAAACCCAACTTTGGAAGATCCTCCATGACTTTAATGACCTCAAAACCCAACTTTTGGGCTTTCTCCATGATTTTATTGACTAAAACCCAACTTTGGAAGATCCTCCAAGACCAAAACCCAACTTTGGAAGGGTCTCCAAGACTTTAATGACCCAAACCCCAACTTTTATTGACCTCAAAACCCAACTTTGGAAGATCTTTCATGACCCTTCATGACCAAAAACCCAACTTTTGGGCTTTCTCCATGACTTGAATGACCCAAAACTCAACTTTTGAGTTTTTATTGATCTCAAAACCCAACTTTGGAAGATCCTCCATGACTTTATTGACCCAAAACCCAACTTTTGAGTTTTTATTTATTTCAAAACCCAACTTTGGAAGATCCTCCATGACTTTATTGACCTCAAAGCCCAACTTTTGGGCTTTCTCCGTGATTCAATGACCCAAAACCCGATTTTTGAAGATCATCCATGACCTTTCATGACCAAAACCCAACTTTGGAAGGTTCTCCATGACTTTAATGACCCAAAACCCAACTTTTGAGTTTCCAATGACCCCAAAACCCAACTTTGGAAGATCCTCCATGACCAAAACCCAACTTTGGAAGGTTCTCCATGATTTTAATGACACAAAACCCAACTTTTGAGTTTC